AGCTGACTCGATGGCACCTAACAACAACAACAACAACAGCAACAACAAAGATTTAAGGTCTCAGAAACCCAAAAGGGATAGATTTACCCTGTCTTCTAGGGTCGCTGTGATGTCAAATTCACTCTATGGCAGTGAATTTTTTTTCCATTGCAAATGAAACAAATCACTCATTCTTAGTGACTTAGGGCAATGGGCGTTTATTATCCAGTTCTGTGGTCAGAAGTCTGACTTGGGTCTCACTGGGGCGGGGTTTCTTTCTAGAGCCTTTTCCAAATTCTAGAGGCTGCCACAGTCCTTGGCTGGCGGCCCTTCCCTCATCTTCAAAGTCAGCAGTGGCTCGTCTGTTCTTCTCTCACAGTCCAGCTGTGGTCTCGTCTGTTCCCACTCTCACTTTGCAGGGCCCTGTATTTTAGAGTCCCTGCGTGGAGCAAATGATGAATGTTCTGTTCATTGATAGGCTAGAGATTCGAGTCCACCCAGAGGTGCCTCAGAGGAAAGGCTTGTCCATCTATTTTAGAAAATCAGCCTTCAAAAACCTGTGGACACAGTTCTGCATTGACATTATATTGGCACCATTAGGAGCCTCTCCCCACCTCCAAGTCCTACATTCAGCCGCAGCACGATGTCCCCATTGCCAAGGAGCCTAAGCAATCCACATATTCCAGAATCAAGACATTCCCATCTTGGGTGGGGGTGGGGGGTGGGGGAGGACAGGTATTATTCTGCTATAATAGCCTTATGATTTCCAGTTAACATATGTAAGCTGTGACCTTAGCTGAGAGATATAGTAAATGTGACTGCTTATAAGGACTCTGATGTTTAAAATCCAACATTTTCATGTCAAATTTATTAAATGTGTGGGTTATTAATTCACTGGGAATATTTTGCTTATAAAAGATGTATGTGTATCTGATCAGGTGTTTAAGGCACTTAAGAAGAGAGCGTTTAGCTTAATGAGTATAAAATGTCTGTCGAGCCTGTCTGCTCTGTAAAGAAGTAGCCATGTTGGCTCGGATTGACAGCAGCAACTTGAAGGATGAACTAGGAGCCTTAGAATAAGTTGTGTGTGACTGGGGAGGGGGGGACTCTCAGAAAGGAGTGTGTGAGGCTGCACAACCCCAAGAATGTCACTGGCTCATGCACGTAGGGACCATTGAATCAGTGTCTGCTTTGCTGTGTACACGCATTAAACAACATAATAAATAAGCAAAACCCCAAGTATGTTAGATATATAGTTGTAGTTTTAAAGTGTTTAAAGGGGTGTTTTTTATTTATTTATTTTTTTTGTGTGTGTGTGATTCTTTTTTTTTTTTTTCTTTTTTAACATTTTATTAGGGGCTCATACAACTGTTATCCCAATCCATACACACATCAATTGTGTAAAGCGCATTTGTACATCGTTTCTCAAAACCTTTTCTCTCCATTTAAACCCCCCGACATTAGGTCCTCATTTTTCCCCTCCCTCCCCGCTCCCCCCTCCCGCATGAGCCATTGATAGTTTATAAATGGGTATTTTGTCATATCTTGCCCTGTCCGACGTCTCCCTTCATCCACTTTTTGGTTGTCTGTCCCCCAGGGAGGAGGTCACACACAGTTCCATGCAATCGGTTCCCTCTTTCCTACCCATTCTCCCTTTACCCTCCCTGTTTTGCCACTCATACCTCTGGTCCTATAGGGCTCATCCGTCCTGGATTCCCTGTATTTTCAGTTCCTATCTGTACCAGTGTACCTCCTCTGGTCTAGCCAGTGTTGCAAGATCGAATTCGAGTCATGGTAGTGGGAGCGGGGAGGAAACCTTTAGGAACTAGAGGAAGGTTGTATATTTCATCATTGTTACATCGCACCCTGACTGGCTCATCTCCTCCCCGAGACCCCTCTGCAAGGGGATCTCCAGTGGCCTACTAATGGGCTTTGGATCTCCACTCTGAAGGGGTGTTTTTTAAAAAGTGAATTTGTAAAAGGAGTTTATCGTTTAAGAGGGCTTTGGTCTGCTCACTTGAGCTTATCAAACACTGGCAAACACTCTCTTATTTTGTATTGACATTTCCTAGAAGTGTGAATTGAGTATCAAGACTTGTTAGCGGAACTTGAAGGCTTCATGAAAGCTGGCTCTCTACCTTTGTTACTAATTAATTTACATGAATCTTAATCCAAGAAACTGTAAATACATCGATCTGTCTGTGCACATCAACGCTCGTTGATTCTGGTTCCAGTCAAGTGTAAGTATGTGGACAGCAGAGGCTTTCCAAAGTTTTTTTAAACTCGTGTTTATGAATTCCTTTGGCTCTGGCACTGGGCTAGGTACCGGTGATGGAACGTCACATAAGATCTCCACTTCCAAGGGACCAAGCCCATGATGCTTCCCCCATCCACCTACCCAACGCAAGGAAAGTGTCAGCAGAGTCTTGACCTGAAGGCGGCGTCCTTCATTCAATGCTGTGGAGCCAATTCAGACTCACAGCGTCCCTGTAGAACAGGGTGGGACTGCCCCTGTGGGTGTCTGAGACTGTACGTCTTTAGAGGAGCAGCAAGGCATTGCTTCCCAAACAGAAGGGCTGCGGAAGGAGTATCCAAACCCAAACCCCAAACTCACTGCCACTGAGTGGATTCTGACTCATGGCGATCCTGACTCATAGAACAGTAGAACTGCGTCTGTGGGTTTCTGAGACGGTAAGTCTTTAGGGGAGGAGAAAGCCACGCTTCCCAAACTGAGGGCCTGTGGGTGGGAAAGGAAGAGCATCCTAAGTGGACAGAACCTGGACCTGCTGCTCTTCAGCTGAGTCTGACTCATCCTCCCTGCCGGGGAGCCGATTCCTGCTCCGAGTGACTTTACGTAGCTCGGCCCAGAACTACCTACCGCAGAGGGTTTAGAACACTGTGATGTCCAAGGAGACAGACTGCCCCATCTTTGTCCTGTGGCCTGGCTGGTGGCGGCTGACCTTAGAGTTAGCAGTTAGCTGATTGCTTACCTTATAGTTAGCAGCGGATTGCTTAACCGAGGCGCTGAAACCAGAACTCCTTAAGTAGATGTGTGAAGAATGCATGAAGTGTTTTGGGAATGATGAAGTTTGAGATCACTAAGGAAATTGAAGGAACTCTATCCGGTAAGCGCTGGTCTGCTAACTGCCAAGGGCAGTGTGTTTCAAACCCGGCCGCCAGCCCCTCTACAACAGAAAAATGTGACTCTGCTTCTGTAAAGGTTCACAGCCTTGGAAACCCTAGGGAGCAGTCCTCATGCATCCTATAGGCTCACCGTGGTTCGGAACGGAAGTGACAGTAGTGGGCTAGTGGGCTTTTGGGTTTCATCCTGAGTGTGGTTCCCTCTCACCTGTCAGGTGTCCGCATAAACCTCACTTTCTCAGAGAGATCCATGCCCAGCCTTGTGGAAGAAGGCCCCCCCCCCTTGCTATTCTGCATCTCAGCTTAGTCCCTTCTTAGATCTTACAACGAACTACACTTCCTGTACTTAGTGTTTGGTCTTCTGCAGTAGGATCTAAATTCCATCAAGGCCCGGACCAGGCCGTTTTGTTTATGGACTTGATGGCCCCGAGTTTGGCTTTGCTCAACTAAACCAAGGCAGTGGTTGTCCAGCCGCTCAGACTCACGGCGATCCTAAGGGTTGCAGACTCCAAGCTCCAAAGGGGTCTCAAGGCTGTGGCCGCTCAGAAGCAGGTGCCAAACCTCTCTTCCGTGGTGTCTCCAGTTCAAACTGCCAACCTTTCTTAGTAGTTGAGGAGGTTTTGGTGCCACCCAGGGACTCTTGCACCTTGCATAGGGCTAGGTCGATAGTAGCTGTTCAATCAATAGCTGCTGGCTGAATAGATTTTGACTTTATCATTCATTATTTTACTAATCACTATCACTTCTGTTCAAATAGTATGTAGAAATACCCACTGTGAACATAGTACTGTGTTCCTGGCTCAGGCTAGTACCCAGGCACAAGCTTAATTTTCTAGGTATTCCTAGAAACAAACAAACAAACAAAACAACCATAGCAGTTTCCAGGGAGGAGAAATAATAGATTCTAAGAGACAAAAAATAAACAGAGTAAATGAAAAAGCCAATTTGAATTGCCACACATAAAACCACACCTGGGTGTATTGTTAGAAACACGTTTATTGCAAGATTTCAGTGTCAAAAATTTTTTTACAAAAATATGCCACCGTCTGGTACAAACAGCTATTAAAAAAATTCAGTTCCTCATGCAAGAAAGGTGTGCAAATAATTTATACAGAAGGATTCAGCTCACACAATGGGAAATACACATCTTGGCAGGTTATTGGTCTAACTATGGTTTACGTTACAATGTTCACTTCCATATAACATTTTCTAATTAAAAAAAAAGGACATTGAAGCTTCTAAGCTGAGGGTGTGGACTGTAAGGTGCATCTATCCCCCTTTGGCCAGGCAATCGGCACTTTGTCTGATAAAGATGAAGTCTAGCGTTCCCACGTGCCGTGCACTGCTGGGGGCCTTCTGCTGAACAGATTTGTGCATCGTTAACGAAACAAACTTATTTACACACAACGGCAGAAAAAGTCATGTTCAAACTCCAGAAGTAACACTGGAGCAGAAAGAGCTTAGTGAGAGTTCCTAGTCTGTGTGCAGTCCTCAGTTGGGGAGCAAATAGATCAAGGCAGACGATTTGAGATTTTCTGTTTTCCCAGGAAGCACTGTTTGCTGAGTGAGTTTAGGGCCCTTTGAAAAAAATGCCCAGCAGATCTCAGGAATAGCTGTCCTTTGTCCGTGGCCTCGGGGAAGGAATCATTCCTCTAGGCTCAGGGAAGGCGAGGTTCAGAGGCAAGCAAGTGTCCTCGGACACGCCAGCTCCTTGGTCCTCAAGGCTGGTTCCAGAGGATGGGGAGATGGAGACAGTGGGACTCTGTGGACTGTTTAGCCTGAGGGCAGAGGGCATACCTGTCTACTTACTCTCAGAACCTATTTCTAGAAACCAAGCGGGCTGCCCAGCCCTTAACTGGGTAAGAATCCCCTTTGTAATTAAAACACAAGCGCACAGGGAAATGCTAATTCACCCAAACACACAGCTTCCTTTATGGCCACAGGTTGCACCCAGTAAAATGTGTGCTTTACCACAGCATCACTGTTCTGTTGGGGGAAACGAAGGGGGGAAAAAAGTTAAGAGCCTCTGTAAGGTGCCAAACCTTTCTTCCATGGTGTCTCTGGGATTTTTACCTCCCCAGTAAGAAAAAGGACTTAAACATCTTTGGAAAAGTTAGAGGCCCGGTGCCCAACACAGACCTGGGTGCCCTAAACAGTGGGGGTCTTGAGGAGAATCCCATCCCAGTCCCCCCTGGAGAGACTCATTCTGTCAGTTAGTTATAAGCCCTTGGAGGGCGTCAGGGAGGAGTTGAGTGGTGTTGAGGATGAGTCACATCCCAGCCCCCATCTGTACTATGCCAATAGGTGCAGGGGTGGGTGGGAGACTTCAGGAGGCTTCCGGTTTCCCTGCGTCCCCACAAGTGCTCAGAACATTCTAAATGCTTTCCTGCCTCCTGGAAGGCAGCAGATTCCACCACTTCTCACCTCTCCTCCGTGTTTTCCTGGGAAAAACCACAGCGCGAGTTCTCCCCTTAACCAGAGAAGAAAGGGCTGGCAGAAGGCAGTGCGCTTAAAGGGACCGAGGGCCCAGATAGATCCAAGGGCAGCATCTCCACTTTCTCCTGGAGGCTCAGAGGGTTGCAAGCGTTGTTGAAACACTAATAGAGTTTTAGGCCAGTATCCAGTCAGAAGGGATGGTTCACAGACTCAGATACTTGGACGTAGATAAAAAGCAAGAAATGTCAACATATAAAATGATGATATAGTTTAGTTTAAGAAAAAAAAATCACACTTAAATTACAGTTGGAGGGGGCGAAACAAAACCAACCCACAAATAAAAGAGAATGTTTGTACAGCTAGACATGGCCGCCCTACAGGCTAGCAGAAAAATATAAACTCAGGTGCAGATCAAATAATAACAAGCTATTGAACACTAAGAGTTGCACACTGTCGAACATTTCTTGAAGTCATTGACCCCCTCGTAAATCACACCGCTTGCTAGACAAGTGAAATTCCAAGCTCCTTTTCTTCTCCTCGGTAGAAACACTAGCCATGAGGAATCCCTGTTAACAGCAAGAGCTTGCGAACCCACCAGACAAGAGCTGTGGCGATAACACAATACACACCCAGCCCCTTACCGCATAATCTCAAGGACAGCCCGCTCTTGTGTTTAGTTTTGCAGTATGATCCCAGGCCCTCTGAATCTACTCTGGTCACCCAGTTGATCACCACCAAAAAAACGTCATTTCAGAACCGAGCAATCCAGGACTTAAAAAAAAGTATACATTTGTTTCACCTTGTTGTTTCATTAGCTTCCTCCGCCTGCCTATTCATTTGACTCATCTGCCCAAAGGAACAATGTTGAGCGCTCACGCCGTGCCATCTTGTTTAAAAATGGGCTTTCCTTCCCAGAGCTTCCTATCAAGTGCGCCTTCCCTAACCTCACACCGTCTCCTTTGCCCTTGAGGACGCTGCCTCACTCTCACGAGACTTCAGGCTCATTGCTCAGATCCTTGGACTTGGACCAAGTCATAAAGTCCCTGTGGGTCTGCCCACCCCACCCTGGGCAGAATGCTTTCCTTCCCTGCAAGTCTGAATCACTTCGTGTTTGGCATCGGTTTCAAATCCTCGTTTATAAAGTCTGGGGTGGAGGTGGGGTAGGTGGAGCAGTAGAGAGTATTCTCTCTCTCCCAGCAGTTTCCTCATCAGGACCCTGTTGGCTTTGAGACCAGCGGTTCTTGGACAGGGAGTGTTGTGGGTCAAGCTGTCCCAGGCGGGTTTGCCAGGAGAGACTCCTAGAGACTACTTGTGCCCAAGGAGCAATGGTTTTGTCTTTTTATCTCACTTTCCATACATGCGAGACTCTGGCCATGCTGAGGTACTGGCACCCTGAGGTGCTGGCTCAGAGACTCTGCTCTGGTGACCTTCTCATCGTCCTCACCGGGACCACAGCATCAGAGATGCGCCATTTCTACACCGTCCCCTCTCCCTCTCCACCTGCCATTTCCTTCTTTATTCTCCTCTTCCAATGAAAGAGGACCACATACGTTCATGTCTTCTTTTTCCCCTTAACTCTCTGTCCGCTACCACCTCTAATGACGCCAAAGCAGCTATGCCCTCTTCCATCAACGTTTTAGAAAACCATGACCCTTGAGTGGTGCCAAAAGGATACGCATCCAGCCACCAACGGAAAAGGTGGGGCTTCCAGTGGACCCAGAAGCATCTTAAAAGACAGGCTTGGGGATCTATTTCTGAAGGTCACAGCCTTCGAAGCCCCCGATGGTCGGATGATGGTTTGTGACCCTCTGAACAAAGTTGACCCGGCCTGACCAAATCTCTCCCACTGAATGGATCTCCCTTAGGGGGAATTTAATTTCCATTTCTGCTTTCTTCTTACGGGGACCAGAGTTGAGGCTCACGTCCCTGCTGAAGTCTGGCACTTGGGCTGTGCCCTACTGAGGGGAAGGAGAGGGCGAGTGTGGGGAGACTACTGCACTCCTGGCTTGGTTTCAGTACACACTTAACCTTCTTCCCCCTCTCCCTCATCATTCTAACTCAAGGCTCAAGCCCCAAAGAAACACTTGATCCTCGAGTTCTTATTTCTGCAACTTTTTTGTTGTTGCCCCTTCTCCCTCAAAATAAAAGGGACAGGAAAAAATACAACTGCAAAAATATGTACAATGTTGTAGAAAAGCAATGTTCTATAAAAAGTGAGACATGCACACAAAAAAAACCTTATCCCCATCTCTCCGGAGTATTTGCCAAATGGACTCATGAAGTCCTGGGATTTTCATCCTTTGCCTCCCAAGACCACCTGGGGCTTATTGTCACTGCAAGGCCCTCCGAGGAGCTGCCGATGAACGCCGGCGCCTTCTGTCCCAATCTCGCTGGAGGAAACAGTGATGTTGGGTGTGAAGAGGAGGGAATTTCGCAGCTTTGCCATGGGAAACAGTAGCTGGTCACAGCTGGGAAGGGGCTGGTGGGATGAACCAGCCTCACGGGCCTTCATCGGCTGAGATGCAGCGACCCAGGAAGAGACCCAGGATGCTCAGACCAGCCAGAAGGCTAAACAGGAACAAGGGAATCTTCACAGCTTCGGGCTGACGGATTCTCTCTTTTCGGCGGCAGGCCTTCCTCAGAGACTGCCCTCCCATTGCACAGAACAGGAAAGGGGAAGAGGCATGCGCTGTTCTAGGCAAGAACCAACTCCCCAGAGGGTCCTGCTCCCTGGACAGGGAAGTCTGGAACAAGCATCTCCCTCCCACGTGACACCCCTCTGCACAGTGGTGAAAAATCTACAAGCACAACAGACACCGGACAAGGTCACGCTGTCCTACCAAGGACAAGGCCACACTACTGTCGGGAAGAGCGCTTCGAATTTTCCGAGGTAGACGACTGTGTGGTGTCTCTGCCAGAAAAGACCCTCAATGCCGGACAGGCTCACAACGGGGTCTCGCTGCCTTTGCCTTCCAGAATGAACACAGAGCCCCCCAGCCCCTGCTCCCAGCCCAGGAATTTCGGCAGTTGTTCTTTTATACATATACACATATACACCAGTATTCACATTGTAAACGAGGAGTCCTGCGGAACTGCCCCCACAGCTCGAGGGCGCTGTAGAGGAGACCCATGGAGCACACCGGGAATTCCGTTTTCCCCACTGGAATAAGTGCCTGCCCGGAGACTCTGGCTGGCCAATCATTAGGGGAGTGTGGGGGGTAGTAAGGACAGGAGGGCTGCTTCTCCAAACCAAGTCTACTGGAGAAGTTCATATACTCAATTTCCTGGTCAACAACCATGGCTCGTCCTCCAGTGTCCTGCCATCAGCCTTCTCTCAATGTACCCTGGTGGCACAGAGGTCAAAGCACCCGGCGACCAGCCAGAAGGTTGTTGGGTGGTTTACACCCACCAGCGGCTCCTCCGGCAAACAGGAGGCAGCCTGTTCCCGTCCGTGGGAAGCTGGCAGGGCAGCCCTACCCCCATCTCGGAGGGCTGTGATGAGTCGGAATTTAACTCAGTGGGCAAGGGGATTTTGTTTGTAAAAAGGTACACTATTTACAGATGAAGCATCCAGCCTCCATATCCCCATGACGGGCTCGTCAGCAAGGGGTGGTTCTGATGTGCTGTCTTGCGCTGGGAGTCAGAACTTGAACAGGTTGATGAAGTCCTGGGGCGAAAGGGAGACGGAGCAGCTCTCGGGGTTATTGGCCGTGCACGGGTGGTCAGTGCCCTGGAAAGCAATCTGGAGGTTAGGTGGGGGTCCTCACCAGGCAGTGCCCAATGTCAACACAAGGCCGCAGGTTGGGAACACTAAAGGGCTGGCTGCATGCGTGTGCGCTGCGCAGGAGAATTTGGGTAGGGGTGAGGAATGGAATTCCCACGTAGGAGACCTGGGTTTGATTCCCAGCCAGTGCAGCTCAAGCCCAGCCACCACTCCTCTGTCAGTGGAAGCTGGGGTGCTGCTGCAATGCTGAACAGGTTTCAGTGGGACTTGCCCACTGAGTTAGACTAGGGTGAAAGGCCTGGTGATCTACTGTCAGGAATCAGCGAAGGAAAACTCTAGTGGATGGACCTGCCATGGACCCTGGGGTGGCGCAGAGCCGAGCCGAGTGTCTTCCTGTTGTGTGTGGGAAGGCCAAGAGTTGGAGCAGTGGTTCACAACCTGTGGGTTGCGACCCTTTAGGGGGTTGAACGACCCTTTCACAGGGGTTGCCCGATTCATAGCAGTAGGAAAATGACAGTGGTGAAGTAGCAACAAAAATAATTTTATGGTTGGGTCCCCACCACATGAGGAACTATATTAAAGGGCCATGGCATTAGGAAGGCTGAGAACCACTGAGTTGGGGGCAGACTCAAAGGGAGCTAACAACAACAGCAGCAGAGAGATGCAGGAAGGAAGCAAATCAGGTGCCTGGAGAGAAACAGCTTCAGGTGTGGGAAATTCTTCCACCAGGGCTGCATCTCGTGGGGCTATGATAAGGATCGATGGGGAAGGATTTGGCATTGCAACCCAGGGTCCTGGTGCCTCCTAGGGGCTGAGTCAAGGGGCTGTGGCTGCCACCTCCAACCTGGGGTCTTGGGGACTTCTGAGGGCTGTGGCCACCACCTCTGAGGCACATACCTTCCAGGAAAGGATGTGGCAGTGCCTGCAAAGCCGGAGGGTGTCTCCATACTGCTCTTTCCTTGGGTAACACCGGATGAGCTTGAAATACATCTTCTTCCAATCCAGCTGCCCTTTGTCCGACAGAATTAACCGCTTGCGGATCTAAAAAGCAAACCCACATTAAGTCCAGTTAGTTCATTGGTGGCAAGCTGCTCTGGCTTCCCCACCTGCTAGGATAGTTTCATCTCTCCCCTGTGCAAGAGCCAGAGAGAAAATGGCCAGGAATGAACGAAACAAAGCACCTTCTTGGTTCCTCCACCCCTCAGCTACAGTTAAACAGCCTGCAACCAGTTCTTAAAAGCAAGAGGTGATATCCTAGTGACCTCTGCTACCCGGGGTTTGGACACCCCTTGGATGTGCACCTGATTCTCAGTAAACAATTTCCGTCTTCGCATTGCTACAGATGCCAGTGGCTACTTCCAGGGAGATATGAGAACCGTTGGCACTGTGGCTGTATTTTATATCTAAATATTAGCAGCTTCATGCACTGAACTTGTTGAACCAACACATCTATAAAAAGAAGCTGGGGGGAGGGGAATGCCACTCCAAACAACCTTGCAGGCAGCATGACAAATGGAAACCAGTCTACATTTGGTGTCACAAGGCCCAGGTTCCAACTCAAGGCCAGTTTCCTCACCCAGAGATCCACCCAACAACTTGACATGCCACTTAGCCACCTGTGGCCTGTCTTGTCATCTGTTGAAAGTCTACCTGGCGACCCTACTTTGGCTGGGCCATCAGAATAAAGCGACACATGTCTGTACAAGCTCAGGAACCGTACAGCACTGTTAAAAAAAACACCAATCTCACTGCCGTTGAGCTGATTTTTGACTCCCAAGGACCTTATTGGACAGAGCAGAAGTCTCCTTTTGGATTTTGGAGACTTTTACATCTTGATGGGAGCAGACAGCCTCATCTTTCTCCTGTGGAGCCACTGGTGGGATTTGAACCACTGACCTTGTGGCTAGAAGTTCAGCATGACTAGGGCGCCTTGCAAAGTACCGTACAAGTTTATTATTTTTTCTAGACAAAAATGCCCTGTGCCAATTTATGAATTTTTTAAAGCAACTTATAAAATGTGAATATATTTTTTTAATCAAAACTAACTAAGCATGTACACTCGCTCTCTCTCTTGCTCTCTCTCATTATGTAGAATTCCCTGGGCTGTCATTTTCCAGCTAAGCCAGGAGCCCTGCAGGCAGGCACCCAGACCTCAGGCTCCAGAGGATTCCCAGGAAGCTGGAAGTGGGGCTGGGGAACAGGAAGGGTCCGTTCCACTCACCTGCCGCTCAGTGAAGTGGTACTGGCAGAGCCTTTTCCACAGCAGCCGGTCCTCGCTGAGAGTATGCAGGTCGGGTGCCGCCTGGCCCAGGCTGACCAGGTCCCGGCCATCACTCAGCCTCTGCATGATGTTCAGTTGCAGACACAGGGGTAGGTCGGTGAAGGTGAGGCCTTTGAAGGCGGGCTGCGAGGAGAAGGATAGGGTGGTGTTAGATGGGTTGTGGGGGCCTAGAGCTCAACTTGCTAGGCGACATTTTCCACAGGCACAGTGGGACCCTCAGGATTCAGGGGAGGGGCATAGAAGGAGCACTGCATAGGCCAGCAGCCTTTCTCATGGGAATTGGATTCCATCTCCAGTGGATCTCTCATGGGAAGTCTGGGACTCAGTTGCCCCATGTGCAAACTGAAAGGCTTTAGAAGACTCTTTTTTTTTTTTAAAGATCTATTTTATTGGGAGCTCTTACAGCTCTTATAACATTCCATACATCCATTGTATCAAGCACATTTGTACAGAGGTTGCTATCATCATTTCCAAAACACGTCCTTTCTCCTTGAGCCCTTGGTATATATTGTTCTTTTCTGTAGCAGCCCTGGTGGTGTAGTGGGTTATGCCTTGGGTTGCTAACCCTGAGGTCAGTAGTTCAAAACCCCCAGCTGCTCCATGAGAGAAAGGTGAGGCAGAGATTCACAGTCTTGGAAACCCAGAGAGGGCAATTCTATTCTCTCCGCTGGGGTCTCGATGAGTTGGAATGGATGGCCCTGACTTTGGAAGTTGGTTTTTTCACCCACTCCCTTCCTGCTCTAACAGTCAGACCAGCAGACGTGTCCGACAGGGCAATTTCTAAGGCTCTTTCTAGCTCAGGGGCCCCAGCAGGCACAAGGGTTAAGTGCTGGGCAGAGCATGGGAGAAAGGCCTGGCGAGTTGCTCTGGTAACAGTGATAGCCAGGCATGCTCCTCGGCCACACAGGGTCACTAAGATTCCAAATGGACTCTGGGGCACGCAATCGCAGCCACAGTAATGGCTCTACCTCCGGCTGCTGGGCTGAACTGTCCACTGTTTGCAGAATTCGGGGCTTTTCGGGCTGCTGGATGGCTGAGGCTCATTTGTCCTTTATCATCTGCTGTGGATCATCTGAGCTAATAAAACTGCCAGGAGATTTTCTTTGTGTCTCCAGCACTTCAAAGCATCGACTTTTTTGGTTAAGGCTCCCAGGCCGATTAGTCCATTAACTCCTATTAAAGGCAAGCCCACTTGGCCGTGGATTTGCAAACCTGAACTTTTCCAAAATCCTTGCCCAGATCCCATGCTGAGTCCTGACTCCTGATAAATGGTTAACGGCTTGGATGCTTTCTTCCTTTTGAATATAAACACACAGAAGAAAAAAATTCATCACTCTTACTCCTCCAACCAAGCCTTTGGCTAAACTCCATTTCTGGTCAGCCCACAGCCTCCCTGCCCCACACCCTGCCACAAGCTTCAAAACACTGCCTTCCTCTCAGTGCCCTGCTGTAAGTCTAATGGGTTTCTTTTCTACAAACCAGCTCTCTCAACTTATACCCCTACTCCCTTGCCCCTTCATCCTTTCCTATCTCAATTATTTTTGGCCAACACAGACCGGCTCTCTTGTATGAACCGTCTATGAGCAATGTGAAGGGAAACACGATTATGTGTTGAGAAGACACAGAGAACTGGGCTAATAGCAATAACTGCAAATGCCACTTTAATCTTCTCATGTGATAGCATACTCTGTGGTGGTGGTTGTTCAAACTGCTAAAACCAAACCCCATCCACTGCCCTTGAGTTGATTCCGACTCACAGCAACGCTATAGGACAGGGTAGAACTGCCCCGGGGGTTTTCCGAGACTGTCACTCTTTACGGGAGTAGAAAGCCTTGTCTTTCTCCCATGGAGCAGCAGGTGATTGATTCCAAACTGCTAATTTCTGGTTAGCAGTCCACTGTGAGCCCACTGCCACGGAGTCAGTTCTGACTCAGAGACCCTCACAGGGGTTCCAGGGCTCTGTAAGGCTCCACTCCCTCCATGCAGTGGCTGCTGGGCTTGAACTGCTTCTGATGGAAGGAATTGAGTCCTCTCTCTCTGGTTCTGTCTTTCCTCTGGGAGGTTGGGACTTAGGGTGAAATGCTCTTCAGGACCCCAAGGGTGCCCAGTGCTGGCTGCTCTCTCCAAATATCTTCCCTCAGAGCCAAAGCGGCGGGTGGAGGTGGGGGTGGGGGAGCAGGACATCCTGGTCAAAAGCACATTTGCTGGAGACAGGCTTGGGATCCATCCTCCAGTGACCTATTGCAGGCCATGAAGCCTAGGTCAAACGATTCCTCACCACCTGGCTTCATGTTTTATGTCTATAACATGGGGGCAAGGCTAATCTTGCTAACAGTGCGGCTGGGTGCAGCAGGTGGGATAAAGTACTTGGCACCACACTTGCCATCCTCTCAGGGATCCTGGAGGACTCTCCTCCGGGGTCCCCATGGATGTCCTCTTTATGGAAGTGGACTGCCTCATCTTCCTCCCATGGAGTGGCTGGTGGAGTCAAACCCTTGACCTTTTTGTTGGCAGCTGAGTGCTTAGCCAGTGTGTGACCATGGGTCCCTGGTACTTAGCACAGGGCTGCCCCATGGCTAGCTATTCCCATGACTAGCTATTATTTTGACCTACACGGGCAGTTCTTCACTAGATGAGTTAATTAATATGTATAACGCTCCCAGAAGACCACTGGACACAGAGCAAGCCCTTGACCATGGCAACAGGGAACACATTAGAAAATACCGACTCTGTGTCAAGCCCTGCTCTGTGGCTCCTGGACACGCATGAAATCTCACACGAGGACTGTGAGGTGGGCACTGTTGTCACTACTTTCCAAGTGAGGAAAGCGAGGGACTGAATAACTTAGCCCAAGCCCCATAGCTGGTAAGCGGTTGTTGTTAGGCGCCATCAAGTCGGTTCTGACTCAGGGCGACCCTGTGCCCCACAGAGGGAAACACTGCCCAGTCCTGCGGCATCCTCCTAAGTGTCTCCATACCTGAGCCCACTGTTGCGGCTGGTAGATCAGCCATCCATAACTATCCATCGCCACCGAGTGCCTGCATGGTGACCCCAGGTGTTACCGAGCGGCATTGTTTCGTAGGGGTTTTCTCGGCTGTGGTTTTTACAGAAAGGAGCGAGTCCTGATAGTGTAGTGGGTTAGTGTTTGGACGCTATCCCCAAGGTCAGCAGTTCGAAACCACCAGCCACTCCAAAGGAGAAAGCTGAGGCTTTCTGCTCCCATAAAGAGGTACAGTCTCAGAAACCACCGGGTTTCTACTCCGTCTACCCTGTCCTGGAGTCAGAAAGGACTTGACGGCAGTGAGTTTGTTTTGCGTGTTTTAATTTTTATGAAGTAGGTTGCCAGGCCTTTCTTCTGCGGACCCTTAACCTTTCCCTTAGTAGTCGAGAGCTTGATCATTTGTGCCAAGAAGGCTCCTTGTCCTAACATGGGGGATGTTTTCCAACTGTGCTCCCCTGACCCCGAAACAAGTACTTCAGGTGAGCAACGGAAAGAAATGCTCTCAATCCTGTACTTATTCAAGGACACTGTATCGATGCCTTGCACTGTCGGGGAGCAGGGCACGTGATGGACAACACCCTGTAGCCAGCGGGTGTTGGCTCCAGAAAAGGGAATCCACCTGGAAGGTGACTTTGGACTGCAGTCCCTCCTGGATGGTTAGGGAAGGCTGACTGTGAGGGGTCCCTTGAGCTGCGTTCCAGAAGTCAAGAGGAAGCCAGCTGTGCAAAGCTGAGCAGAAAGAACATTCCAGGCAGCGAGGAGGGAATATTGAACTTTGCCTAAAAGCCCTGGGGCAGAGACAGGCTTGGAGCGTGCAGAACAGGCCACTTGGCCTGGGAACTGTAAGCAGAGGTGGGTGTGATGTATCTTGGTGCCTGGTCCCTTGTGCACGGGATTCTATTGGATTGAGGGTTTGGAAGGAGCTGGCTCATTGGATAAGAAGTTGGAAGAAAGCTGGATTGCAAACAAGTTTGGCGAGAGCCTCACCATTTTAGGAATCAGGACCCAGGCTTCTGGCCTTGGCCTGGCCGGGAGACAGGGGAGTCACTGAGCTTTCCTGGCTCTTGCTCCCACCTGAAGCCCACCTCATGAAGGGGCCGCAGCAACTGTCATCGGAACCCCCATGGTGTAGTGAGTAACACACATTGGGCTGCTAACTGGGACGTTAGCAGTTTGAAACCACCAGCTGTAGAAAGACGAGGCTTTCTTCTCTCGTAGAGATAAGCCTCAGAACCCCCAAGGGCAGTTTGACCCTGTTCTATAGGGTCCCTATGAGTCAGAAAGGACTCGGTGGCAGTGAGTGAGCAGCTGTAACAGCCGCTTCCTGAGGGTGTTGTGCAGCAGCCCAGGGGGGTGCTGGGGGAAGCTCAAGGGATGCGGGCAGGTGTGGCCAACGGGGGGCTCCTATCAGGTGGACAAGGGAAGCTGACCATCTCAATGGATGTATTAAGAAGTAGATGGGGAGATGGCCTTGGGACAAGCAGACTTTGCTGCTTTCTGTCCCTGGCTGGGTCACACTCTCTTGGTCTTAGAGAAAGCAGAAAGTATGAAATCCGGGTTACATAGAAATCTGTGGATTTTCTGTGAGACAGAGAAGCTGGGCATGTGGGTCTCAAAGCGACATCGTCAAACTGCGCCCACACTCGAGAGGCAGGAGAGGGTTGGGTGATAAGAATCAATCAGGGAAATGTTCACCACAAATGCATTCTCTTAAATGGAATCATTGAGGTGCTTTGTGAAAGGACCTGTGTGTGTGTGCTCCGGGGTGTGTGTGTGTGTGTGTGTGTGTGTAAAACCCAAGTAATTTTACTTAATGCCATTAGAAAATAATCCCCCTACCCCTTATTAATAGGGTCTCCCTGGAATTTTTATAACTGGATACAGTGTCCAAAACAAACAGGTGGATCTGGGCAGTATCTAAAAAGGCAAGATAAAGCCAAGAGGCTTCTCTTACTGGCCTGTTAGTGACACAAAGGTAGGCCCTGCCATCTAGGGAGTCAACAGAGACATCCTGAAACTGACCAAAGACTGAAAGAACGTCATGGTTGCGGTTGCTTGCTCACGATCAACAGTTGTTTCCGGGCTTACCCTGAAACCGGAGTTACTGTAACACATCTACATACGTGAGTGCTCAGTGTGTGATTGCCAAAGTCAGAGGTCTGTGTTCTCCCTGAGTGTTGACCTCCAAGAGGATGCTACTAAGACAGCTGGCTCGCTGTTGGCCTCCTCGCGGGTGGGTGGCACCTTGTGAAAAAAGGTTCTGATACCAAGGGCTCAAGTAGAAAGCAAATGTTTTGAGAATGATGAGGGCAACAAATGTGCTTGACACAATGGATGGATGTTTGGATTGTGATAAGAGTTGCACGAGTCTCCAATAAAATGTTTTTTTTAAAAAAAAGGTTCTATTTCTTTTTGTAACTTGGAGTGGCAGCATTGTTTATGATGCTTCAGGGAGGAACACCTGCATTTCAGGTGTTGTGGGTGTGTATGAGAGAGAGAGAGGTGGTACAATTGTTACCTCTGTCTCAGGGTTCAGAAACAAAGGCATGGCGAAGTGATTCACACCACACTCCAGGGCATTGCCTTTGGGAAACCTTATAAGAATTATCTGAAAGAAGTCCAAGGGGGACTTCTTTGACCTTCTCTCAAGATGGGGCAGCCCCAAATTTTATCATCCTGGGTCCCGGAAACCATTTAGCGCCTCGGCCGTGGTCAGCGATTAGATAATGAGCCAAGCGCTACGTGAGCTTCCCAAGAGCGCCTGTCCACTGGCGAGACCTCCGGGCGACACCTCACATTTTTAGGTGGGCCTTCGTCCCTCTGCTCAACAGGATGACGTCAAACGCGGAGGGCTAGCCTGTGTTGAAAACCAGGAGGAAGTGCGGATACAGACAGTCTCCCTTGGCTGGGATCGTAAGGTCCTTGTGGGTTTGCTCTGAATGAGCTGGGCCCCTCCCTCTGCCATGTGCTCACAAGGCTTCCTTTGCCCCACCATCAGTCTGCAGAGGCTGGTACTAGTTCTCCATGCCGCTGCTGTCACCGCGCTGCCGGATGTGAGGCAGTCTTCTAAGGAGCCCTGGTGGTGCTGTGGGTGAGGCACGGGGCAGCCAAGGGCAACGCCGGCCGCTCCTCGCTCCTCGGGAGAGAGGTAGGGCTGTCTGCTCCCACTGGGGTGCTGAGAGTCGGAAGGGACTCGCTGGCAGTGGGCTTGTGTTTTCTACCCAGACTCTCAAGGGGGCCTGTCAAGGTGCCATCGAGGTGACGCAGTTTGGAAGCCTCATCCCCGCCGTCAGGAGAAAGGACCTGGTGGGCCACTCTGCTAACCACGACAGCCCAGACCACCCGAGGGGGCAGTGCTGCTTTGTCCTAGAGCAGGGGATCTCGACCTTCCTAAGGCTGTGACCCTTTAACACAGTTCCTCGTGTGGTGGTGACCCCCAACCATCAAATTATTTTCGTTGCTGCTTCAACACTGTCATTTTGCTACTGTGATGAATGGGGCAGCCCCTGTGAAAGGGTCGTTTGACTTAGATGACCTAGAAGCGGTGGCTGTGAGTCAGAATGGACTCTCACGGTATACACAGGGAGTTCTTTATGAGGGAATGGAGAAAGAGGTAACCCACCAGAGTGCAGTGCTGCAGACAGCCCCTCCCTTAAGGCCAAGTCCTATTTCGCCAAGTTCTTCCCATCCCCCCCTTTGCCACACGCCTGCTCTCAGATGACCCTCAGCCTCCAGTGTAGCGTGTAGCACGTCACAGCTGCCCAGCCCAGGTTTTTCGTCATCACTGGGAGATACGGCCCTGCTGAAGCGGCCCAGCATCTCTCTGGGGGCCAGCGGGAGCTCCCTGGACCTGCTCACCTTTGTGATCTGGATGTTGTTCAGCTGCTGCTGCCAGTGGAGGATGGTCTCCATCCGGTACACCCACATGTTAATGTTCCCGACCAGCACAGACTTGCCGACTCGTTGGACCAGCGTACACAAGGATGTGTAGAGAGTCTGCAGCAGCTCTCGGATGAGCCTGATGTTCTGCTGGTCTTCAAGGACTGGGGCGGGGAGGGAAACACAGGGAGTCAGGGTCCTGCAACAGGCTTGGGGGTCTAAGGGGCCTCTGCTTTTCCTCCATGCTGCTTGGGTTACCTGGCTCAGCCTCTGGGGGTGGGGCTTTCTTTCTCTCAGGTGTTAATTCTATTGCTGCTGCTCTCCAGGGGGAGTGGCCACCACCTAAGTCCCTCTTTGTTCGTCTCTCCACAGGGTTCTCCAAAGCCTGGTTCTCCTTGCATTGTTGGGGAAGGCTCATCGGATCTACAGTGGGTTCTTTTTGTTGGGAATGGGGAGCAGCGAGGGAACATGGCCTGGGAGCTGGGAACCTGGGCTCTCTGTAGCCCTGTCTGCCCAGCTCTCGATGCCATCACCGGCTGACCACTTCCTCTCATGAGCCTCAGTTTCCCCGTGGTTCCATGACTTAGTCAAACCAGAGACCTAAGGTTTCTTCTAGTTCAAATGGCTTATGAGTGACTTCTGCCTGCTACCCAGCTTGATTTTAAGACTTTGGTGTCCTGAGGCTCAGAGGCTAAGGTGGGGACATGTGTCTAGGTGGGATGCATGGGAGGTGCCCAGTGAGTGGGGCAGATGGGTGGGTGGTCCCCATGGCAGGATGGGAGCTGACTGTCTCATCTCCAACTCTGGGCATAGGTTGTACCCCCTTCTGAATTGGAACCGGGCACCCCTATACTGCATCTAACATTATTCTTTCCCATCCACTGACTCTCCTGGGAAACCCACGCCCCCACTGCCCAGGCCTATCAAATCGGGTGAGGGAGCAGCAAGAGTTCACCTTTCAGTACCACTTTTTCCAAAATGTTCATGAAGTTCTTTTGGGCGATGCCACTCAGGGATGTGAGCTGTGACTTTGCTATCAGTTCTAACAGCTGTGGATAAAAATAGAGGTTGCCAGGTTTAGAACACAGAGATATTTTCCCCTTCTAATCTTCACTTTGGAGTCACATGACACGGGAATTACAGCCAGGCCAGGGGGAGCGAGGTGGGGGTGAGAGGGGACTAGAAATGACAGGCAGAGAGGCTCAGGGTGACAGACAAACAGGAGTAATCCCAAACCCAGGCATCAGGCTGGGCGCTCAATGCGTTTTTCTTGTAAATATGAAGCATTCTGGCTTCAGCCAGAGCTTCTTCTTGTCCTACCCTCAGCAAGTGGAACTGGTACCCGAGGGAGGGAACAAGACCTCCCATGACCTGCGAGACGTTGCCTTCTGCATCATCACCCTCTGCATCAAGTCGCCTGCCCCCATGTGAACCTCTTCCCCATTGGCCATGCCTGCTCTTCAGGCTCCTAACAGATCAGGCTCAGCATTGATGTGCAAGGTCCACGGAAGTGGTTGTTCTTGCCCAGATAATCCCCACTTATGTAGTAGTGAGGAGATATAGCTAATTATTAGCATGTCTCATGGCACTTAGCTTTCTGCAGTGAGTGTGTAAGCACAGGAAGAGAGAGAGCCTTCAGGAAGCATAGAATACATGGAGTCCCTGGGTGGTACAAATGCTGAAACACTCAACTGCTAACTGGAAGGTTGGAGGTTTGAGTCTACCCAGAGGCACCTTAGAAGAAAGAACGGCCCGGGTATCTACTTCTGAGAAACCAGCCATTGACAGTCCCCGAGGGCACAGCTCTAGTCTATAGTTCGACAGCAACAGGACAATGGGCTTGTTTGATTTTATAGTAGAAGTACATATGTCCAAGGGGCCCTGGTGGCGTGGTGGTTATGTGTCGGGCTGTCAACCTCAAGGTCAACAGTTTGAAATTACCAGCAGCTCCTTGGGAGAAAGATGAGGCTTTCTACTTCCATAAAAGTTACAGTCTCAGAAACCCACAGGGGGCAGTTCTACCCTGCCCTTATGGGGTTACTATGAGCCAGAACTGACTCAATGGCAGTCAGTGAATGATACCTATTTTTACTAAGAGGCAATGGTATTATTGTGGCTACAAGCTCGGCTTTACAGCTCTTATCCTTAAGTTCAAGGCTTGGCTTGACTACTGGTTAGCTCTGTGGCTATATTCCTATATAGCCACTGTATACAATGGCCAGTGACTCTATTGCTTTGCCCCAGCTTCTTCGTCTGTGCTAATGTTCAGAGTCCCCACAGCTGTCAAGAGGGAATGCACATAAATCTGTAGCGTGCAGCCTGAACTAATTAGGTGCTAAATAAAGGCTGGCTGGCTTGTTCCTGCCACCCTTCATCATCCCAAATGAACAGAGATGAAGAGAATGGGTGAAGTGGGGCCCTTCTTGAGCTACTCTCTCTCTTCCCTTCCATAGCAAAGTTCTTTACAGAGGTGGCAATATGAAACAAACAAAGACTCTATTGTTGAAAAATAAGTGAAATGAAACATCAAATAATAGAGAGCATCTCATTCAACCCACTTAACAGATGAGCAAAATGGGGCTCCAAAGACTGAAACCTTACGAGTCACTAGACACCAGCAAAGGACGCCACAGAGTCAACGCGGGGAAAGAAAGAGGCAGAGCCAACGCGTTCACACGGACCACACAAAAGGGGCCGCTAGAAAGCGAGCATCACTCAGTTCATCAGAACCCACCAGCCACAGTGCCCTCGGCCGTCGTTTATGAATTAATCCAGATACAGAAAAGTCCCCTTCCTCCACATTGGCATTTACACCTCAGGTCTTACAGAACTTGGCAAGGGAGTTTTCTCCATTAGCCTGACTCCAGCCCAACCTCCACTAAAGGGCAATGCCACTGGCCGTGACATCGCGCTGGGCACTGGACCCAAACCCAAGGGAGAACCAGTCATGTGCAATGAATGGCTGAAGAGTGGGCTGCAGAAGAGCCTGGGAACATTCTGGATGAACATCCCAGCAATTCAGATCACCTGCACGCTGAGGCAGAGGCATGAAATGTCTGTCCCAGAAACACGGGTGAAGGGAGACAGCAGACGGTGTAAAATATGAAAATAAACATAATTGATAACATATCAAGAGTACATGAGGGTGGGAGGGTGGGGGCGGAAGGGGAAAAAAGAGGGGCTAATGTCAAAGGCTCAAGCAGAGAGAAAATACTTCGAAAATGATGATGGCAACATATGTACAAATGTGCTTGATACAACGGATGTATGGATTGTTATAAGAGCTGTAAGAGCCCCCAATAAAATGATTTATTAAAATTAAAAAAAATAAATGAGAAAACAAAAACAAAAACTTCTATTCCCAGGGAGTCCTTGAGGGGGCTGTTAAGCCAGGTAGAGAATTTTTAAAAATCCTTGTTGAGAATCTACCCAGCAAAGCATATACTGATCAAACAATTTCTCTAGCTACAATTCATTGACTTTGATTATATTCTTCAAGTTGTATAACCATCCATACCTTCCTTTTCCAAATTGTTCCTCCCCCATTAACAGAAACTGCCCCCCAACCCCGTGCACCCCTCCTGACCCTAAGCTTCTCATCTACTCTTTCAAGTTGCTCTTGTTAGTTCGAGCCCTTTAGATGTTCTCAGTAACTCTGGTGGTGTAGTGGTTATGCACTGGACTGTGATCTGCAAGGTCGGCAGTTCAAAACCATTAGCTACTCCTCGGAGAAAGACAGGGCTCTCTACTCCTGTAAAGCGTTACAGTCTCAGAAACCCCAGGAGGGCAGTTCAACCCTGTCCTATAGACTCATGGAGTCAGCATGGACTAGATGACAATGAATGTGGTTTGTTTGGCCTTTGAGATGTTCTTTGTGAGAACACAACCAGACCTTCAGTGTCCATTAAGCTAAACATTATTGTTTATTACTTAACCACTGTTGTTTGGTAAACATGATTTTTGGCTTAAGGCTACAAGATGATCTCAGGGCAACAGCGTCAGGAGTCCATCCAGCCTCCCCGACTTCAGAAACCTGGACAAAACTCCACTTTACATTAGAAAGAGAAACAAAACCAAAACAACTCCCCCTTCCTCCCTGGTGTGTACACTTTCCGTGTGTGCAGGGAGAGACAGAGCCGTCTGACCCAGAGGAGGTAAGGAGAGGCTGAGACTAGCGAGTACTGGGGCCCAAGACCGGAAGTCAGGTGCTGATCGGGTGTCCATTAATCCAGGCAAGCGGTCAGAACATCAGCTGAGTCTGTGTGCTTGGGTGGTGACTGCGCAGAATTCCCTCTGCTTGTGTAGGTCAGCTCTGCCACCAAGCAGCACGTGACAGTGAGGGGAAGTGGGAGAAAAGGACTGGCCAAAGCCCCCATCTATCTCCTGACCCACAGTGAGCTTTGGGAGGCTGAGCGGAGGGGCTATTAATACCCCTGAGGCGCTTGTGGCCAAACAAATCAAGCTGCGAGAAAACAAAGCCTCCATCCCGTGGCCAGGCTGTGCCCGGTGACTCACCATTGGGTGGGAGGTGGGCCAAAAGGCTGGGAGGAGGATGGGGCGGGGCTCCGACCCAAATCTACCCCTCTCCCACATTCCATGTGACCATCCTCACAGGAGGGTGTCTTAATTGTGTCTAAAAGTGTACTGATCACATGGATGAGAAACCTCTCACGGTGACCATGCATTTTCAGGG